GGGGGGGGGGCAGGGGAACCAGGGGTCCTCCTTTTCCAGGACCTGCCCTCCATTCCATCCTTCTGTCCGGGAGGAATCCCCAAACGCCCTCCATTTGGAGCACCACTAAGAAGCATGGCATTGACACTTCCAGGAGTGTTTTGAGCTTTGGGAATTTCCTCCATTTTTGTTGACGGTCCTCCATTTTGCGGTGCCGTGTCCTCCTTTGAGGTTAGGACATCTGGTGCTCCCTTTGCATCGGGCAAAGAGGTTGGCACCGCTGGCGAAGAAGCATGGGCACCTGTGTCCAGAGAGGGAGACAGCTATGGAAGGACTAGGTCAGATCCTGAAGTGCGAAGGCAGACAACTGAGCACTACAGTTAGACTCCTCCAAGCCATTATTGTGTTCCCCAACACCACGCAAGGATGTGAAGAAAGTGGAGGAGAAGAAGAAAATCCATTTGAGATGTGGTGGTTCTTGAGAAGGGTGCTGCTGAGGATGCTGTGGATGGATGGCCAAGAAGGCAAAGAAATGGGTCCCCGAACAGATCAAGCCTGAACTCTCCCTGGAAGCCAAGATGACTAAACTGAGGCTGTTGTGCTTTGGCCACACCATGAGAAAGAATTACTCACTGGAAAAGATAATGATGCTAGGAAAGATAGAGGGTAGTAAGTAGAAAGAGAGGAAGACCACATGCCAGATGGATAGACTCAATCACACAGAGGTCGCAGGTGTGAATTTGCAGGACCTGAGTGGAGGATAGCGGGGCTTGGAGATGTCTCATCCACAGGGTCGCCATGAGTCTGGATCGACTTGAAGGCAGTTAACAACTACCTTTCCCATTCACCCCACCACCAGCCATCTGTTCTGAAGGTGAGAGAGGCAGAGCCTTCCTGTGAAGAGACATGGATCGGGACTAGAGTAATCCCAACACTGGCATTCAAAGAGGGACAAGACCAGCTCTGACAATGCCACCTTGTTGGTGGTGGTGCTGTGTGTCCAGCTTGAAACTTGACTTGTTGCGAAGGGATCTTGTAGCAGCTTTGAGACTAATGGAAAGGAAGAAGCTGCCTGCCGCCTCATGCCTCTGAGGAAGGAGGCTCAAATCGACAAAAGCTCCCTTTTCATACTTATTTTCCATACTAACAGAGCTGTGCCTTTGAACTTTTTGTTGAGTGCCTTCAAGTCGTTTCCCACTTATGGCAACCCTAAGGGGTTTTCTTGGCAAGATTTGTTGAGAGGAGGTTTGCCATTGCCATCCTCTGAGGCTAAGAGAGTGGGACCCGTCCATAGTCACCCAATGGGTTTCCATGGCCAAACTGGGATTCTAACCTTGGTCTCCACAGTCATACTTCAGTGCTCAAACCATTACACCATGCAGCTTTCACTTTACCCGGTCCAAAAGTGTACACTAGAAAAGAAACCCAACCAGCCTCAAGGACTAATCCCACAGACTCCTTTGTGAGCCTGGGAAGGTCCTCTTTCAATGAACACTTACTAGAGCTTGGAAAAGTAACTTGGTGGGACTTCAGCCCAGATTGGAGGAAGGAGGGAATCTTCACCAGTTGCTTCAGGCTCCTGTTTCTCCCTCAAGCTTTTGTGCTCCCAATGAGGTGATTTTTAAAGTTCCTCCCCCCATATCACCACAGTGCTTCCAAATAGATGCTGATGCTGATACAGATACAGTTTTAATCAGATAATTTATTGGATCAGCTGTTTAAGAAACTATTTCTAATAGAGTACAATAACATCCAAAATCCACAAGAGTAATATCTTTATTGGACCAGCCAAAATGCACAAAATACATATTGAAAGCTTTAGAAGCTCCACTGACTCAGTGGGGCTTCTAGAGATTGCAATGTGTATTTTGTGCATTTTGGTATCACTATTTTGTGGATTTTGGATGTTATTGTACTTTACTACATGGCCAACACAGCTACCTCTGGGTATATATACAGTTTAAATGCTGCTGGAGTTAATCATACGGCAGACTTTGAACAAAGTAATTACTTTCCCCCCCCCCCCCCATGGAAATCCTGATCAAAGCAGTGAGGGGGATACATCATCTTAAAAGAGGCATTTGTCTTCCCTGCTCCTTTCCCCCTCTTTCTCTTTCCCCCTCTCTTTCTCTCCCTTAGGAGATACTGCCTCTTCTACAATGATACCTGCCCTAACTAAGGATAAGATATCAACTTGTTTGAGATGCACATTTATCCATCAGCAGATGTAAACAACTAATTAATTGACTACAGCATGGGCAATTAGCTGATTAGACAGTCTTTGCTCGATTTGCAATACCTCATCACTGCAGACACCCCCCGGCCATGTCTCCTCAGTAGGAACACCCATTTAAAATTACTTATTGCACATTACTGAGCCTTCAAGACATCAGAAGAAGAAATGGCAGTCGGAATTTGGAATGAATGCCAAGTTGAAGGTGGTGGGTCTTTTGGAGGGGCCGAGGCACATGGATGGGAGGGGAGTGTGCCATTCTGATTTTCTAAGGATGTCTACAAGGGAAAGGGACCTCATTACCTTGGAAACATGAAGTGTTCCTATCTAAGGTTTTACAAAGGAAGCATGTGTGTGTATGTGCCTTCATGTTGCCTGTGGACCCCTTGAATTTCATAGGATTTTCTTAAGTGAGGAATACTCAGAGGTGGTTTTGCCAGTTCCTTCTTCTGAAACAGCCTGTATTTGTTGGCAGTGTCCCATCCAAATGCTAACAAGAGCTAACCCTGCTTAACTTCCAAGATAAGACTGGATCTGGTTCCTTTATGGTATTTAGGTGCCATCCTGTGCCCATTCCCTTTCATCCATGATACTTCATTCCACGCTCTCTCCTTTTTGCTTTTTTCAGTGTTCTGTGCCTACTGAGCATGTGCAGCCCTCAATGTGTTTTGGGGTTTCCTTTCCCCTAACTTCCTCCCTCAAATTATTGCCATGCTTCTGCAAACTCTGATATTTCCCCAGTCCTGAAAATATACACCTCTAGTTTTTGGATTCTTTTCTTGATGATGTCATTTTGTACAGCAGTCTCATATATATTGCTCATTTTAACTTTCTGAAAGTTGTCTGTATGACCAGCAGTGAAATATTTACCCATCTAAGAAACAAGGAAAATGTCAGGAAGTTCTAGGGCAGGGGTAGGCAACCTTCTTGAGCCGGGGGCCGGGTTGCTGTCCCTCAGACAATTGGGGGGGCCGAAGCACCAAAAATAAATAAATAAATAAATAAATAAAAAATATTTTTTTTAAAAAATAAAAAATATGCATGCACACACTCTCAGCTCCAGAAAAGCCATGGCAAAACCCCTGTGGAGATTTTGCCAAGAAAACCCCAAGAACAAGTAATAACAACAATAATCAATATCATCATAGCGGGGGGGCGGGGCGGGGCAGCAGCGGCTGCAGCGGCAGAACTGGCCTGGGGCCGGTCCAAAGGCCTGGGGGGGGGCGCATCCAGCCCCCAGGCCTTAGGTTGCCTACCCCTATTCTAGGGTATATCTATGAGAACTTGAATAAGTTTTTCTTCTTTCCTTTTGT